GACAATATATAATAGTTTTTGATTTGCTACACGCTCAATATTCAATATTTATTGCGACTAGCATAAATATTGTTATAAGTTCCAAAGGTCACAGGGATATTATATAGAATTAATATGCTCTTTAAAGCTCACGTATAAAAAATAAACAGTAGCTCCGCTTACACAAATTTTATTTTTATAACAATCCACATTGAGTTGATGTTGACGAAAAAAAAAAAAAAAAAAAAAAACAAACTGGTTTCCTTATAAATATTTCCCATGTTCAAGAAAATATAAATGAATATAAAAGTTGATTGGTTTTCGTTATTATTTATGGAAAATTAAAATACATATGTACATTTAATTTTGAAATAATAAATAAAAAAAAAAAAATAATAATAATAATAATATATGTAGCTAGCTTGATACTTCTATAAATGTATAAATATATTTTTCTATACATAAGTAAACAATACGTATATTCTTATAAAATATTCAATTCTACAAAATTGATTAAATGAATGCATTTAATTATGTTATTTGTATTTGTCAATACACGAACATTAATATATGCTCATATATCGTCTTCAAATGTACTTTATGGTATTATTCTTTCGTTAACACTAGTAAATCTCTATTCTATATTACACCAAACTGTCTGTTACAAAATTCGCTTTAACAGTGATTTTGCTGCCCACAACAACAGACGTTTAACATAGTTAAACTTATTTTTCAAAGCTGGCAATGCTGTCAACAGCACTGTTAATGCTAATAGCAACGCGAATGTTTTACCGGCTACAGCATGTGCCACCAATACAGAGGCAGATAAACAAACACACAGACACACAAACACACACAAGCACACACATATGCACTGGAGCACTTAGAGAAAACACCGGTGTCAGCAGATGTATGCAAAAATATAGATGCATTTGACCCTTACTCGAGCATCAGCGGCAGCAACAGTAAAAACAGCAACAACAACAACGACGACAAGAATAATAACAACAACAACAACAACAACAGCTACAACTCAAGCAGTAACACTAACACTTTACTTTTCGCCTTTCGTCCGATTACCGTTTATTTTTGTTGTGTTCGCTTTGGCTTTGCATTTAAAGCTTTCGTTTCACTTTGCTCCATTTGCGGCAAATATTTTTTGCTTGCTTTTATGTGTGTTTTATTTTTTCTCTCGTTTTCGTTATTCCTCTTTTCTGTGGCCAATGTGCGATAACCTTTAAAAGCTGCTCGTATGCTAAAACTAAATAATGACAAGCGGAACGAGCTAAAAACGTAACTGCACCAGCTGCGTGCATGACAATTCAAGTTGCTTAGACAACAACAACAGCAAACGAATAATAATAACAACAGTGAAAACAGCAACAGCAACAGCAACGTCATGCTGTCTCGCTCTCGCCGCGTGTAGTACGTGGTTGCCTGGACAACTGACAAACGGCAACAACTTGTAGCCAAAACTAATGCAAATTACGTACACGCGCTCTCCTGCGCTCTCTCCCTCTCTCTGGTTTCCTTGTCACCCTTGCTCGCATTGCAGCATTGTTTGGCTGTCTCGCTCACGCTACAAATGAGCGCAATTGTTTTCGTGTGCAACAAATTTTTTATGATTATCTTCGTTCGGCTCTCACTTTTTGCTCGCTCACGCTCTCGCTCTCGCTCTCGCTCTCGCTGTGCTTTCCCCTCTTCCTCACAAATCTCTTTGCCTTAGTCTTCATGTCTTTCACCGCAAGCAGCTTAAACTTTTGCTTTTGCTGTTGCATAGTTTGCGGCGTTGTCTTCCCATCCCTTGCCCGTTCGCCGCATTTTTGGCCAGGCAGGATTAACACCTGTTTGTGCCTGGCTGCCGAGCATTTTGTACGTTGAATTTCCAAGCCCGGAATTTATTGTATTTGTTTACAGGGTTTTTGCGTGCACAATTCTGCGTTTTGCGTTCTGCGCTCTGCGCTCTGCGTTCAGTGTTCTGCGTTCGCCCCCAAAAACTTATGGCTGCCGGGGCTTAAGTGAAAATAATGTCATGGAGATAATGCGAAAAAGGAAAGTGCACGTTAGTTCTAACCATGGCTTAGCAGCCAGCCAGCCATTGCATGCCATTGCATTGCATTGCATTGCATTTGCCAGCATTTCATTTGCATTAAAGCCTGACAGTCTAATATGGCCAAAACACTTGAGTACAACATGTCCCCGGGCATTTCGCATCCATAAGTACATACACTATGCGTAAGGAAGCTTATGAAGAGTTAAGAGCTCGTTTGCATTATGCTAGCTCCGACTGGAGGCTATAAATTAATGGTAAATACTAAAGCCGTAGATGTAAACGGAATAGAAAATATAGAAAGTGCCGAGTGTAAGGCGAGCAAATCTTTTGGAATTTGAATGAGTAAAAGGGCGTGACACAGCCTTGAATTGGAAGAGAAAGCTCTGAGTTTTATGGGAACTTTAACTGAATTCAGTAACAATTGCAACAATTTGATCTAAGCTCTCCATTCATAAATTTATATATTAGTTAATAAAATCAATGGAATCGTTTATTCGTTTATGCCCCTAATCGATCTTGAAAATTGAGAGTTCAATTTTAGCTATAAAAAAATAAATGAAATGGATTCGGGGGAGACGAATAAGTATGCAGACCACCCTCATTCCGATAATTCTTTTGTGGAAAAACACTTTTTGGATGAAAATTATTTTCTTGAGTCTTGTTAAGTGGAATTCTCCATGAACTAAAAATCCGTGTCATTCATTAAAAATACTATTCTTTCGTTTCTATCTTAAAGCTCAAATACCTATACAATGCCAATTTTATATATACAATAATATATATTCACTTTAACCTACATTTCATAGAGTAAGAGTGAAGCAAAATTGCTGTTTTCATCAACTGCTTTTTATATAATTTTTTATTTATTTATTTTCTTTCTCAATATCTGCTGCTTAAGTAAGATGTGTTTGTCTCTGTGTGTGTGCAGACATATCGTTCATACTGTGCCCCGTGGCACACAATCAATGACTTTATACCGGGGTGCAGGTAACATAATCTAACTGAAGTTTTGCATGCCTTCATTGTACCACCTTAACAATAACACTACGAGCAACTAAAGAAAACCAACGAAACGTTATATAACAACAACTACAACAAAATTGCGTCAAAACTTTCACTGCTAGCAGTATACGTACTCTCCTCGTACACAATCCTTGTGCAACCAGCGAGCAGCAAGCAGCAACGTACAACCTTGCAAAAAGTTCCATAACAAAATTTATGCGTGTAACTGGGCGTACGAAAATGCTGCCAACACCAACACCAACAGTAACAACACCAACACCAAGAGTAACAGCAACAAAAACATCGTCAGCAGCCGCAACAAAGGACAACAACAACCGCAACAAGCAACAACAACGGCAATATTAATAATACAACAAAAAAGAGAGAAGCAGAGAGAGTGAGAGTGAGAGAGAAAGAGAGAGAAAAGAGCGAAAGAGAGATTTGATTTAACAAGGCGAAGCCATAATACTCTTGTAGACGTTGAAGGATAATGGGAGTTTATATATAGAAATACATTTTGTATATTTAGATGTGAGGTGTTTTCAAATGAATATCATATAAGTATATATCAAGCATATATAGTTGGTTAAGTTTGTTATCATATATAGAAGATAGAAAGTGGTTAAAACAGGAGTTTATAAGAACATCAATTAGGTTTACATACCAACATTTACTTTTGGCTTAAATATTATCTATCTATTAATACTTATTATTCCATATCCTATCCTATGTTTAATAAGAACTTTACACTTCATACTTGCAACCAATATTTTTCAAAATAAATATTTATCCATTGATTTTCCTATACAACTGCTGTATACATATATCATATTTGTATAGATCTCAAAATAATATAAGCAAGGAATGTGTAAAATATTTTTTAAATAATAATAATACAACAAGAGTAATGCACTGTTTCACAATACTCTGTAAAACATGCAGCTGCAACTTTTAAATAAATTTCTAAATACTCGACTCGAGGC